TTCATAAAGTATATAATAATACATGCACATAAATAATGAATAAACTATTTTATTAATTAAATAATAAATATTCTTATTATATCTCATGCTTTAAGTACATTATTCCTAACATAAAGGTAGCAAAATAAAGCGTTAGTAAGTTGTAATAAAATGAAAAGAACAATAAATATATAACTAAAACAAAATAAAAACACTATAAGAGTAAAAGGGAAAAAAACACAAACTTACGATGACAAGCATAGTGGACTCTAATCATTGATCCTAACCATGAAGAATTGCAAAGCTACTCTCCCAGACAAAAGCGTGATTGACTAAAAAGCAAAAACTCCTCGATCACAAGAGTGATCGATTCCAAATATAAAAGGTCTTTGATCATAAGAGTGATCACTCTAAAGCTAAGCAGTCCTTAATAATAAGCACGATCACAACTCCATATGTAAACAGTTATCCAGAGTTGAAAATTAAAAAAGTTATGGATCACAAGCATGATCCAGAGTTAAGAGTTAAGCAGTTCTTAATCACAAGTATAATCAAGAATTGAAAGTTGAGCAGTTCTTAATCAGAAGTGTGATGTTAAGTAGTTCATGACTATAAGCATGGCCCAGAATTAAAAGCCAAGTAGTTCTTGATTGCAAGCATGATCTAAAGTTGAAAGTTGAGCAGTTATTGATCATTAATGTGATCCACAGTTGAAAGTTGAGCAGTTCTTGATCACAATCATGATCTAGAGTAGAAAGTTAAGTTGTTCTTAATCATAAGCATGATCCATAATTGAAAATTAAGTAGTTCTTGATCACAAGCATGGCCCAAAGTTAAAAATTAAGCCGTTCTTAATCACAAGCATGATTCAGAGTTGAAAGTTGAGCAATTCGAACCACAATTTGAAGTTGAAGGTTGAGCAGTTCTTGATCACAAGCATGATCTAGAGTTGAAAGTTAACTAGTTCTTGATCATAAGCATGATCCAAAGTTAAGTAGTTCTTGATCATAAGCATGATCCAGAATTTAAAATTAAGCAATTCTTCATCACAAGTATGATCCAAAATTTAAAGTTGAGCAGTTTTTAATCACAAGTACGATCCAAAGTTGAAAGTTGAGCAGTTCTTGAAGCATTATCTAAAGTTGAGGGTTGAGTAGTTCTCAAACATAAGCATGATCTAGAGTTGAAAGTTAAGCAGTTCTTGATCATAAGGGTTGAGCAGTTCTCGATCATAAACATGATCCAAAGTTGAAAGTTAAGCAGTTCTTAATCATAAGCATGATCTGAAGTTAAGTAGTTTTTTATCATAAGCATGATCCAAAGTTGAGACTTAAGTAGTTCTAGATCACAAGCATGATCCAGAGTTGAAAGTTGACCAATTCTTGATTGCAAGCATGTCTACAGTTGAAGGCTGAGAAGTTCTTGATCACAAGCATGATCCAGAGTTTAAAGTTAATCAGTTTTTCATCATAAGAATATCCATAGTTAAAAGTTAAGCAATTCTTGATCAGAAGTATGATTTAGAGTTAAAAGTTGAGTAGTTCTTAATCACAAGTATGATCCAAAGTTGAAAGTTTAGTTGTTCTTTATCATAAGCATGATCAAGAGTTAAACCTTATAAGCATGATCAAGAGTTAAACGTTATAAGCATGATCTAGAGTTAAAAGTTAATCAGTTCTTTATCACAAGCATGATCTAGAGTTGAAAGTTGAGCAGTTCTTGATCACAAGCATGATCCAAAGTTGAAGGTTGAGCAGTTCTTGATCACAAGCATGATTCAAAGTTGAAGATTGAGCAATTCTTGATCACAAGCATGATCTAGAGTTGAAAGTTAAGCAGTTCTTGATCATAAGCATTATACAAAGTTAAATAGTTATTGATCATAAGCATGATTTAGAGTTGAAAGTTAAGCAATTCTTGTTCACAATCATGATCCAAAGTTGAAAGTTGAGCAGTTCTTAATCACAAACATGATCTAGAGTTGAAAGTTTAGCTGTTGTTGATCACATGATCTAGAGTTCAAAGTTCAAACATTTCTTGATCATAAGTATGATCCAGAGTTGAAAGTTAAGATGTTTTTGATCATAAGAATGATTTGGAGTTGAAAGTTGAGCAGATCTTGATCACAAGCATGATCCAGAGTTGAAAACTGAGCAGTTGATCATAAGCCTGATATAGACTCTAGAGTTTAAAGTTAAGTAGTTTTTAATCATAAGCAAGGTCCAAAGTTAAGTAGTTCTTGATCATAAGCATGATCAAGAGTTGAAAGTTAAGTAGTTCTTGAAGGCATGATCTAGAGTTGAAAATTGTGACAAGCATGATCCAGAGTTGAAAGTTTAGTTGTTCTTAATCATGATCAAGAGTTTAAAGTTCAAACCGTTCTTGATCACAAGCATGATCTAGAGTTGAAAGTTAAGCAGCTCTTAATCACAAGTATGATCCAGGGTTATAGTTGTTAAATCAGAACTTACTTGATCCCTAACATGATTGACACTCCAAAGACAATGTGCACTCCTCAATCAGAAGCATGATCAACTCTAAAGCAAACTGCAGTAATTGATAGCAAAGCGATTATCACAAAGCATGATTGAGTTTTCTTCTTCTAAGCTTATTAGTTTTGAAAGCTAGTTTCAGTTCTAGTATGATATTTCGGCCTCGTTCATTTCACCGATTTGAGTTTTCAGTTTTAGGTTTTTACAGTTTAAAGGTCTAAGAAAATTTCACATCTAAGTTTTTTTGCTACAGTTAAAAACTCTTAAAAAATATGACATCTCCGCTTGCATTACAAACTAGAATTTGCGAAGTAAACAAAGTCTTAAAAGTTGAAAACATCGATAGTTAAGCAACATTGGAATGGGCAAAACTAAAATTAGCAAATATATACAATAATATACAATAACAAAGAGACCTATTCATTTTTGTATACAAATAAGCTTAAATTAGTAGAAATAGAATTCCTATAGCACAATAATAGAAAACATGATTTTTTTTAATAATAAAAAAAGGAACATGTATTGTCAAGAACAAATTGATAATCAAAAGCAGAGGAACTACAAGCCAGTCTAATAATAAAAGCAGAGTTATCTAAAGAACACAATGAAACCAATATACTTTTTTTTTTCAACTCGAGAAAGTGCTAAACCATAATTATTTGCGGATAATGTCAAGTTGCTAAAGTTTTTCTTCACATATACATTATTAACAAATATTTGAATAATCAAGACCAGCAACACAAGTAGATGAGAGAGAGGATGAAAAACTAATCTATGAATGATGAGCGACTTATTTATAGGGAAAAAGACAATGCAATCCTATTAGGACTAGACCTCCTCAATTATTATTTACTACGTGTAATATTATGGTATTTTAGAAAAATTATTCAAATTAGTATTCACATAGAATTAGAATTATAGAATACACGCTATTACCCGGTATTTTAGTGATGCTAGGAAAATTATTTAAATTCAAATGCTTCACGTAGAACTAGAATGATCATACTTCCTTTATTTCCTTGTAACAAATTTTTTTAATGTATAATGTTTTCGAAAGGAAAGAAAGAAAAAAGCTTATAGGAAGATATTATAGCAAAAAAAAAAAAAAAAGATTGGAATGACATATTACAGTAAAAAATCATAACAAATAATAGAAAGAATTAAGCTACTGTAATAAAATATTTATCTCTTATTTTTTTACTATTTCATAGAAAATAATAACAATTATTCTACTAACAAAAAGAACAGAAAAAAATAAAAACTTACAATAAATACGACTGCGTACCAAACAACGTGTCTAGAGAATAGAGAGAGATGACGAAAAAACTATGCATCCTAATTCCTAAGCAACATATTTATAGGAAAAACAAAAATGGAATCCTATTTGGACTAGGCTTCCTCAATAATTATCCAGTGAGGATAATTATTTATTTAATGCAACATGATTATCACGTATTTTAGAACGGTCATAATTTCTTTATTTCCTTCTAACAAAAAATAATTATATATATATATATATATTGCTTTCTCTAGAACTGTAAATTTAGACCAGACTAAATAGACCGGTCTGAGGCCCGCCACTATTAATTTGGGTCAGGCCCGACAGTAAAATTTTTTTTAGCTTAAGTCGGGCTGAACCGACTCTCTTTTAGGATCGATATATTTTTAAAGATTTTTTTATTAAATACCTAATCAAATTTCGGGCCGGCCTTAAATTTTTTAGGGAAATAGTAGGAAATAGGCCAATATGAAAAGCTTAAGAAAGTATATAGGCCAATTTTAAGTTATAGAAATTAATAGGCCATAACTTGTCAAGTTATGGTTCATAACTAGATAAGTTATGAACAAACTTGTCAAGTTATGGTTCATAGCCAGACAAGTTATGGACAATTATGGATAATAACTTATCAAGTTATGGTTCATAATCAGACAAATTATGGATGAAAACAGTAATTTGACCTATTTATTAACTTATGTAAACTATTAGCCTATTAATTTTAATTCATTTCAAGTCTTGATCTTTTTTTCTCTCTCCTAATTTTTTAAGCTTAAGGTTGGCTCAGGCTGCCGGGCTCAAGTCTAGTCAAGCGGCCCAAACTTACACTTGTAGTCATCATTTTACTGTCTTTCCACACTTTTAGTCGTCGTTTTACTGTCTTTCCATTCCCAATACAATGCTCGTTGTCGTTTTCCCCAATTAAAAAACAAACCGCGAAGAAAGAATATTGCTTAGGTTATAATGGCGGGTTCTTAACCAAATCCCTTATCGTCTCATCAAATTTTAGAATTGACAACGTACTTTATGTCGTCTTACAAATTAGATGACATAAAAATTTTGCATGCAAAAAATAATAAATAAATTGCATACATATTTTTTTTCTGATTAGCAAAATATATATATATATGCTTTCTGAAAAGGACGCGTCCTTTATATATGCAAAATTGCAAATGAGGGCAAAACTTTTGTAGCCAAAAAAGGAGATGTCGTTTATACAATTATACAATTTGCACAACAAACGACTTCTTGAATACAAAATGCCGTGTCGTTGTCAGTACTACGTAGAACTTTCTGGATTCACCTCTTGGAGGAAGCATCTGGACTTGATTCCCCCCCCGGGGGCGCCCACATGTTCTACGCGAACGAGAGTTAGAACTACGCAGCAATGGCGATGACCACGCGGATTTCTCGGGCCTTTCCCATATTCTCCGACTCTTTTTCCTTCTCCATTCTCTTCTGCAAACGTTTTCTCCGTCGTCCACCTCCATTGCCCAGCTACACCCACGCCACAACCACATTCTCATTCTCCTCTTTTTCTTCTTCTTCTTCTTCTTCATTTCTCTCGAATAGGCTATTCAGCTCATCATCTGATGCACCCAAAAAGATCAACACAAAGGTTAACTTCTCTCTCCCCTCCGACGACGAAACTGAAGACGAAAACGACAACAAGAAAGCTCCGAAAGACATCGACAAGTCGAAGCTTCCACCGCCTTACGATCCCTTCAGCAAAAAGCCCGCCGTGGAGGAGCCAGACGACCCGAAAGACCTGCAAGAGATCTTCCACAAGATGAGCAGCGATGGCCTCCTCAACAATGCGGTCAAGATGTTCGACGGTTTGTCCAAGGACGGCCTCACCCACGCGGCCCTGGAGCTCTTCGCTCAGATTAAGGACAAGGGCGAGATGCCCGACGTGGTGGCCCACACTGCCGTCATCGAAGCCTACGCCAACGCCGGGCAGACCAAGGAGGCTCTCAAGGTGTTCTTGAGAATGCTCGCCTCCGGCGTCGCCCCGAATACGTATACCTATGCTGTTTTGATAAAAGGACTCGCTGCGAACCCCAAGTTCCTCGGCGATGCGAAGAAGCACGTGCTTGAGATGATGTCGAAGGGGATGCGTCCCAATGCCAGTGTTTACGCGGCGGTGTTCGAGGCGTTTGCAAGGGAGCGGAAGGAGGAGGAGGCCAGGGAGTTTCTGGTGCAGATAAGAGAGAGAGGGTTTGTGCCTGTTGAGAAGGCTGTGAGAGAGGCTATGAAGGATAAAAGGGGACCTGTGTTTAGAAGTGTCATGAGCATTCTCTTTGGGAAATAGAGTCCTTTTCATATTATTTTATTTAATTTGTTTTCGCAAGTGGTTTGAATTATCCAAAATATAAAGAGATTTTTCAGGCCATGTTATCTTATGTTGTAGGAATGATATTGCTGCGAGTTGTCACAAAATGATTCATTTTAGTCGTTCCAATAAATACCACATGCGAATAAACTATATTTGTGGAAATCCAAATAGACCATGAAGGAATACATTTGGAAGACAATAGACGTAGATATGCTGAAAATGCCAAACACCAAACCAGTATTCTCAAGAAACCTTAGCACTAACTAAATATTACATCAAAATGGGCAATCGATTTTAAAATTAAATGTCAAAGAAAACATATATAGGAAGCTAGAAGAGAATATTTCAGTTCAAATTTAACTCCTATAACTGTATGGAGAAGCATCTCTTGAGTCGTTGAGCTGCACAACCTGGAATTCCAACAAACCAATGCTCAACAGCAGCCTCTGACCCACTGAGGCCAAGAAAACTGAGACCTTATGTCCTCCACAACTCAAAAGTCAGAGCACCCCTTTTTATGGCGCTTGTTTGTCTTAAAAACCTATCTTGTCGGGGCATTCCGATGCCCTGTGCCCAGATCTCCCGCAGTTGAAACACGAACCTCCGAAACTTCTGTGTGCAAGTTCATATGTCATGTCACTACTTCATAATTAATGCCGTAGCAAGATTTACAAAGGGAAGTGGGAACATACCTGTCCCTGGATGAAGACCTGCTTGAACCCTGAGACCAACTACTGCCAGATTTTCTACCTCCAATTAGCCAATCATCGCTGGAGCTTCTAGGGGTAGATTTTCTACCTCCAATTAGCCAATCATCACTGGAGCTTCTAGAACCCCGAGACCAGCTATTGTTAGGTTTTCTGCTACTTCGACCGCTACTCCTAAATACATCATCTTCATCATCAGAGAAGCCACCGCCCCGACCTCTGGAGCCTCTGAAACCTCCACGACCCCTAGAACCCCGTCGGCTACCTCGGTCTCCACCGTGCTCTCTGCTAGAAAACCTACCATAGTAGTCACTAGCGGGCCCATCATCTTGCAAAGGTGGCAACTGCAAATGAATACAATACAAGCATGCCATCCCTCTTTCAGTATTTAAGGTAAAAATTATACAACAAATGCACATGCTTAATGTCACAATTGAGCAACTTATGTTCTCATGCAAATATGGCTATAATGAAAAAGTAAAGAAAATTCAAATAGTAACCTTGGTGATCTTGGAAATAGTGTTCCCGGAAGGTAGTTCCCTATTCAGCAACTCTTTTGCAATCTCCTCTGGAAGATCAAAAACTGCTGATTGAACCTGATATTTGTGCAAGTGATAACTTATTATTAACAAAGGTATGCATAAAGAGACACTAGAAGAAAATTAAAAACCAATTCCATGTTGTAGAAACAAACCCTTTCATCCGCAACTAAATAAACTTTTCCAAGTTCATCAGCCGCTGCAGAATAAACATCTGAAAGAAACCCAGTGACAGATCTAGCTGACAGGAATCCTCTGGAAAAAGCTGGATCTCGAATCAATTGCAATGTAACCAAACCCTGAAATATAAACATTCAGCTTAAAAATAAAATAAGGATTAAACAGTATGAATGTACGACTGAATAAAACTTAGCAACATATACAGATAAAACTAATGGATGTGGATTTAGAATTTACAATACTTCATGCATTGCTACTTGACTCAAATTCTTTACCTGCTCATGGTTGATAAGAGACCTGGATGATGGAGGCCGAGCAAAACCACTCAATTGAGCAAGTGCAGCAGCAAGAGCACTTGTGCCTTGTTCCTCGATCAGTTTTTGGGCAGTTGGGGTGAAAAACTCAACCGATTCAGCATGAACTCCACTAAGAGTGGCAACCACATGTTCAGCAGATGACTCCAGAACCTCTTCAATGGAAGGTGGACTAACAAACTCAAATTTGCACCCAACATCGCGCTCGAGTGATCTGACTGTTCTTCTCTGGCTACTAGTGAACATCAAAATAGCAGTTCCTTCTTTTCCAGCACGTCCAGTACGACCGGATCGATGCACAAAGGTTTCTGGATCATTGGGAAGTTCATAGTGGATAACCTAGAAAAACAAGTAAAGAGACGATAGACTACTTAGTATGCTGAAAGAACAGTCAAGATATTAGTATTCAAAAGAGGTATAAGAAGATGTGGGAAACATTTCAAAAAGGCAAAATGAAATTCATGCCATTTATGCTTCATGTATTACGCCTGAGTTTAAAATTCAGATACATAATAGAATCTCCTCTTTTATTCTTCATTGAAATGTATGATGACACTTTGTTCAAGGTTCCACAAAATTATATACTACTCAAAAAATTGGATTCAGAAACAAATGGAAGCTGGATCATAAAAATTCAGGTGATTACCAAATCGACATTAGGAATATCAAGCCCTCGGGCTGCAACATCAGTGGCAACAAGCACAGTGAATTTCCCTTGCCTGAAACCATTTAATGTTCTCTCTCTCTGATGCTGGGATATATCTCCATGCAATGCCTCAGAAGCTATGCTATTTGTTAATGCCATTGAGACTTCATCAGCATCTCGTTTAGTTTGTGTAAAAACTATGGTCTTCCCACCTTTTGCATAAACCTGAAATAAGCCAGATAATAATATTTAAAAAAAAGGTACTTTCTAGCTCTGTAATTAATCTAGAAAAATGGAATACAATCATTTCTTTAACATAAAGCCTAAGATAAAATAACAATACACATCATATATTAGAAACCTGCAAATATAACACTAAAATAGTATATTAGAACGATAAAATCTGTGCAATCTATAAAGCAGAATTTTCTTACTTAAAGAAATTTCACTCTTATAATTATCACATTGTTTGCTAAAACATTTTGGCATACATACATCATAACAAACATATATACATTATGATAGTACTTAATAATTACAATTCACGCCTCATATAATCAGAAGGTCATTAAAATAATCCAGAAGAACTGGCAATTCAACACCGCCTGCTATTTTCAAAAGATATAAGTGGCAGAAAGATACCAATAGGGCTGCTAGAACTCACCGTTACAAGATCACTAAGAATAGTCCGCTTTGATGTTGCCGTAGTTGATATGGCATAAAGTTTGATTCCCTCAGCAAGTTTTTCATCTCGCTCACCAACCTTATAGGAGGGAAGAAAAGAAAACCTTCAGAATCAATATATCACTCGAGAATAATTGTAGCCTATACTGGCACTTGACTTGTTAAACGAATGATAATTATACCAGATCAATAGTCAAAGGATTGTCCAAATATTTCCGCGCTAGTTTTTTCACCCAACTAGGCATAGTTGCAGAGAAAAGCATACTTTGTCTCTCAGATGGAAGCTTTTCTAAGATTACTTCTACATCCTCCTCAAAACCAACCGCAAGCATTTGATCAGCTTCATCAAGAACCAAATATTGAACTTCCCCCAGCTGGAGGCTACCACCATTTATCAGATCAATTAACCGACCAGGAGTTCCAACAACCACATCAACTCCACGGGAAAGAGCATTCTGTTGTGTAATATAAGAAACGCCTCCGTACACACAGACAGTGTTTAAATGAGGTGCAGATTCTTTGATCTCCTTTTCTACTTGCTTTGCTAACTCACGGGTGGGTGCAAGGACCAAACCTTTAGGAAGACGACTAGACCGCCTATGAAAAAGATTTTAACAAAAAAAAATTCATGACACGTTCCAAATGAATTTAAAAGTAAAAGCAGTTCAATGACTCTGACAGAATTCTACCTCCTAGAACCTCTCTGTTCATCGTCTTCAGTCAGGCGCTTAATTATTGGGATCCCAAAGGCAAGTGTCTTTCCAGTTCCAGTCTTTGCGCGAGCAATGAGGTCTCGACCTTCTAGTGCTGGGACTAGTACAGCTCTCTAATTTTTTTTTTCAGAAAACAATAAGATATAATCATGATTGCCTCAGAAAATACAAACAAAAACTATTTTCCAATTAACCAAAAAAAGGATAAAATATGTGAGACAAGAAAATTAAGCCAATATCTCAATCCAATCAAATTAGCCAAAGAAGCCAATTCAAATAACACCTTCCATTTCAAATTTAAGTGATGGCCAGTGGCCACTAAACAAACAATGAGGTTCTAAAACCACAGAATAAGAGAAACTATACGACTAGGTGGTGAAACAATAAGAGGTTATTGCTGCCGCAAAACCAGGAAATGGAGAAATAAATATATACATTTCATTTTTATTGCTTATTAGAAAAATGAAAATGTTATTTTTATCCCATTAAAGACTTTAATATGGTTCCAAAAACTTAATTGAGAAAACAATAGCTTTTATTTCTTCTTCTCTACTGCTTAAAAGCGTAAGCAAAAGCAATGCTAAACAGAACTAGCTTGGTTTGGTTACCCAAAGACACTGACAAAAACTGCTTCCAAAACATTACACAAGAGAAAATGGCTGAATTCTTCTTAGTGGAATGCTGATTAAACATAGAAGACCAAGAAAAACTGAGATAACAAAATAAAGGATAACAAATTTGACTACAACCCAAATATATACGTGTGTGTGCAAAAACCAAAGAGAGAAAAAGAAATGGATTATAAAAGAACAGTACTTGGATAGGGAAAAGGTGTGTGTGTGTGCGAAAACCAAAGAGAAAAAGAAATGGATTAGAAAAGAACAGTACTTGGATAGGGAAAAGGTGCGTAATCCCCCGTTTCTCCAAGGAATCAACAAGTCTCTGAGGCAAACCCAGCTTCGAAATCGCGAGCTCATCGTCGTCAACAGAAGCTTCGCCGGGCTCGCCTTCCTCGGACTCATAGTCGTCCTCTTCATCACCACTAAAAGAGTCCTTCGAGAAGTCTCCTAGGCCCTTGAAAGCCTCCTCGCTAAGCACCGAATTGGGGGTCGCAATGGCGGAAGCAACCAGCCTAGAAGAAGAACCACTCTTACAGTTATACGCCCTCAGAACGCTGTTGAAGTGGGACTTATCGGGAAAAGGCAGAGACGACGGCGAAGAAGTCGCCGCCGCGACTCTTCTGTAAGGCTCGAGACTGGGCGTCTGGTAAATGGACGAAACGCCGATTATGGAAGCCATTTTTTTCTTATCCTTCTAGTTTGAGCACCAACTGCTCGATGAAAGTTCTGAGAGAAGGAAGAGGATAAGGCCGTGTTTGGGCCAATGGGAAATGAAGGGGCGGTGTTTGGGAGGGTTTTGGAGGAAGAAGGAGGAGATATTTAGGGGATAAGGCAAAGGCAGAGACAGAGTGTGTGTTTGTAAAATGTATGCCTTATAAACTCCTGCTAATATATACGAGCTTTTCTTCCACAAGTGGATAGCCCCCTCATTTAATGAAATTCTTGTATTTTCCAAAATGCCCTTTATCAATATATATATATATATA